CCTTTCATCTCAAGTCTCTTATTCCCTTTTGCTGTGTTTACACTTTTCTAACTTCGCCAAATACTGAGTTGCAGATCGGAGTGTTCATCGGTGGACTCTCTTTAAGGAACTACATCTGCCGTATTTTCTTATCATTAAATTAACAATACATCTTTCACTTCCACCATACTTTTTTATTGTTAGATTTCCCCAAATTTTCAGGGATGAAGTCTCAATTCCTTTTTTATAACACTTATCATGACACACTTATCAAATACATTATTATTTTGAAGATTGAATCGTTTAGTTTCCATATATACATGGTTTTCCGGTGAGAGATTTCTCAAAAGGTTCCTAAATAATTATAAATTTGGTAACGCGGAAAGAGTTAGGGAGTTTTTGGGAATGAATATAAACATATTTTTTATATACCTGCGTTGTAAATATCTTTTCCGTTGCAACAAATCGTTCATAATCGAGCATTTTGCTGCACAAATGATGTATTAGTATTTTACGGCACAAATAATTGCGTCATTACACATTCAGCGAATCGCAGCTAGAGAATCGTGGAGAAGCAACGGTGAACGTATCCGACTACCGTTTTCTTGCAGAGATGCCATACATCCGAGGCGTCACAAGAAAGTTGTTTCGCAAAATTAAGTTTGATTCTCTTATAAATTTATAATGCTGTTATACAAAAAAAAAGCAACTCGTTTATAATATTTCATTGCATTCGTACATTTTTTGAAAACTCGCTCCCAACGTCGCTCATTTTCAAAACGTGTACTAATGCAATAACGCTTGACATTATAAATTAATCGGATAAACAATGATGTACAGTTATGGGTAGCACGCGATAAACCACACAACAAATATCACAAACGTCAACACTTGGGTTGAAACGTGAACTACAATGACAGTATCCGAGGTTGCAGGAGAACGCTTCTGCCTTGTGACTAAATTGATAAGGTGGGAAGCAACGCCAAGGGAAGGAAGGGGAGGGCCTTGTTTTGGCGAGCGCCGCGCCGCTCGGGCAGCAACAGGTGGTCGTTGCGGCGGGGGGGGGGCGAGGGAGGCGGCGGCAGCAGACCGGCTGACGCTTGGCCGCACGGCGCTCCGCGGCCGCCACCCTCGCGCGAACTCCTTTCTATGTTTGCCCCGGGAGCGGATTTCGTCCCCCTCATGCGGCTGGTCAGCGCTTCGAACGAGGGCTCGATGGCACGTTGCTCCAGCAACCAACTCTATGCAGTTGGTGCGTCGTACGGTTTGGGATTTGTGCGGGGTTTAATTCGTATTCGGTTTCGTCCTGGGTTAAACTATGTACTCGTTACCCTCACTTCTGATCCCAGAGTGGATGAAAGGTGGAGAGAGGGAGGTACTTTCGTCGCCTATGGCGCAATCACGCGTTGAATGGCCAATTATTGGCGTGGCCGAGCACGCTGACCGCGAGCCCTCGATATCAGGAAGGGCCGGGAGGATCACTTTAAACCTCAGAATAATTATGACGCAGAAAATTAGAGCAGGATAGGTCAATGTGGCGTGCATCAGTTATTGAAATACAGTTAAAGCTTATCGGGGTCACGGACGGAGCTATTTCCTCCGCTCGAATGAAATTTCTACGCTGTCTTAAATTATTATTTTCTCTTCTGTCTCTACATGCAACAACTTTGTCAGTCTTGTTTTATAGACAGAAAATCAAGTATTTTGGATAGCCGTTTTACGTCAAAATAATAAAATATGTTTGCAATGAACTAAAACTGTCTTGTATACATTGATATGTAATTTAATTCTATACATTGATTAAAATATTGTATTTTTTTTGACATTTTAAACTCCAGCTTGAGGATAGAAATTATGATTTTCCGAAACATTTCTATATATGTAATAATACACATATTCGAAAACTGCAAACCTATTTTATTATTTTGATGAAAAGTGCTATCCAAAATACTGGATTTTCTGACTAAAATATAGACCAAATGCAGGCTGACAAATGTACGCGTCTCTCTCGTTTTGAAGCGTCTCTCTCGTCTATATTTCTATTGTACTGTCGGGACGTTGGGATATAACTCATGCAAATTCTGTGGCCAATTTGTTTTTTCAATACAATATTTTATAACGTTTTTTAAAAGATCCTCAGAAAAGCGCGTTCCGCCGGCCGCGCTCTCGTCGTGCGTGGGCATCGTGGAGCGCTGGCGGGCGGGAGGGCGGGCGTCGCCGGGTCGCGTGTGGGTCTCGGGCCCGGCGGACGGACACGCCATAACGAGTGCGAATAAGATGTTAATCGAGCGCAAATGAATATGGAACAGCCACCAGGCGCCGGCGCGGTGCGAGGCGCAGGAATGTGGAATGCGCGCACGGCGCAAGTGCGTTCACCTCGGCCCCCGCGCCGCGCCGCGCCCTATTCCGCAGTACAAACCACCGAGCGTCGTTTCATGAATTTTACGGCGCTGGAAGGCGTTTACGCGATGCGCTTGCACCCGAGGCGGCACGCGCCGGCACGTGCCGGGCCCGGGGGACTCGTTTGCTTGGCGAATCAACTGCGGTGAGAGATATAGGAGACTGCTGGTAGGGGTTCTCATCGTTAATGTTTGTGTTATGCGTGTACTTCGCGCCGAAAAGAAATATATAGGGTAGTCATGCGATCGTGTCGCAGGGTTATAAGTGGTTGATCACTAATCTGATGAAATTAAATTCTGTAAATGTCCGTTCAAGCATGCGCGCGCTTTTTGCCTAAGAGTTCTTATCTCTGAAAGTTCTCCCCAAATTTTGAGTTGAATTACTAAGTGACAGTACTGCATATTTGTTGCTCTGGACTGAGTGAATAGGAGAAAAATATTGTCAACGGACCGAAATTTCCTTGCGGAATTTGAATTTATTGTGGAAAATAGGATACTTTAATGGAATTATCTCTCTGTGCTCTCTCGATTGTGTAAGGAATTATGAAAATATATGAATATTGTAAGTGTATCAACATTAACTTTCCTACGTTACACGTAATATTTTTAGCTGTCAACGCGTATTTATCTCTGTCACACTGTGTCATACAAACATGTTCATAGAATATTCCGCGATTAACTATTATCTCTTCTCGTACTGCTCGTATTCCCAAGGCCGTACCTCCCCAACCCCCAGCCGGCAAAGGTACACGTCCGGTGGAAAGGTTCGTCAGCTCCTTGCGGATTACGAGACGAGAATAAAAAACTCACGCGTTGGCTTGGAGTTCCGCCGTGATGGTGGTCGCTGCGGTCGCTCCGTGGAAGGGAAGGAGGCAAAGTTTAGAAAACATTCATATTTCGATACATCACCAACGGTTTTCGATGTCGATGAAAATATCGACCAAAACATCGATGTTTTAAATGTGATGAAACATTGCGAACATTTGAAACCTTTCATATGTCCGGGTTCTAATGTGATACATAGCATGTCAATATTACTTTAAAGTATATTCTGCCTTAAAATTGACATATTTCTTTTCTAATGAATGTTCTATGTAGTCAAGGTTTAAATTGCAGTTTAACGATAGTACAAACTAATCAAGAAAGGTAACAACACAGGAGAAAAGTTTTAAATAGAATGGGATTTGGTGCAACCTGGGGATTGACAACAGTGGGAAGTGTCAATGGCTGTTCCTCAAATAAAATAAATACTGGAAATTTTATTTATATCACGAGAATTTTTATTTTGTACGAATCGACGTTTCTGGACAGATATATCGATCTGAAGAAAGCAAAGTCGATGTTATAATATCGATGTTTCTGTTCGAAAATATTAATGTTTAAAAAACTTCGATGTTTTTTGGCCTCCCTCGTCACGGAACCCGTTTTTAAGCAACCGCAACCCACCGCGCAGCCACCGCCCCGTCGGTATCGCTTGCCGCCCTGCGTCTGGTGGTTGAGGTTTCCGACATGTCGCTGGAAGCTCACGAAAGGGGGCGTGGTGTGTGTAGAGTAGGAGACAAAGGAAGCCGCCCTGGCAAATTGCATTGAAGGGAATTTAATCACATCTGTTGTGTATACAGACAACAGACCTTCGGTTCGGATTGGAGAAGAGCATTAATGGGGCATACTAAATGATTGGGGGGAAGTGTGGTAGCTTGCCATTGTTTTCCTTGCCCGGCCAGAAATTACCGTAGTGCCATCTGGCTCCAGAGGCAAAGTATTTCATTGGACATATGTCATTCCTCAGCATCATCGTTTCTTCAAAGCTTTTTTATTGACCAAGCTAAGACGACATTTTTTGAGGAAGTTATGCATTTTTTTAATCACATTGGGAACTAGTCTCACACTCTTCTTGCAAAAACAGCGAACCTCTAGACATTCCATCTTCATTTCATGGGGAGAACTTGATGCTGATGTAAAAATGTCTCTGAAATTTGTGATAATTTGGTCATGTTTTCGGGTCATTTGCACCGGGATTGAATCAACTACTAGAATTCATGAGATGGTGTCCTGGAGCAACAGCCCGCACGGAAGGCAGCTTTGAGTTACCTCACTATCCCTTGTTTAAACCGATTGGTCCAATGCATACGGAAAGGCGAAGTGGTATCGATGGAAGAGCATTTCTCTTCAATGTTTCTAGACCACAGATACTGCTTGTGAATCGGTATCGGTATTTGCTGAAAATGATATAAGCAAAGTGGAATTATGTTAATTGACTTCTAAAGCATGAGGTCATTACGATCTCATAATATTCCAGTAACAACCTTCACTTTCAAAAAATAAGTTCGTCATATAAAAATTTAATATAATTAATGCAATTTCCCAACATGTGGATAGTTCATACCATTATTAAGTGTTCAATATTTCGAGTAAGCGCTTTATTGCAATGTTTCTTCTCAATTCTTGTGGTTTTGATTGTTTTCGATTATGTATAATCCTTTGAAGAGTAATTAAATGGACTATTCTACAAATGATTTAATATAGATAGAGCATATGTCAGGTACTAATACAGAAAAAGCTGGTGATGCCCCATATGAATGACTTATTTCATTAATACAAAAATGTACTGCTTTGTTACAGAATTAGATGCAAGTCTTCCGCAAATCCTCTCCGTTTTAATAAGATGAATAAAGGCTGAGAGGTAAGTACGAATTTGAATCTTATATTCTTAAAAAAATATTATAAAATCTTTGTTGTTTAAATTACGAATTAGTAACGTAACTATTTATTAATCAAATGTAAGACATTAAATGATTCCTTGAATCATGAAATCATTTGATTAATAAATCATAATCATCAATGTTTAAACTATTTTTATACTAATGGAAAATTAATGGATTTTTGTCAGTGGTGCACCCAAAGGTGCTCATTGGTGCTTCATCATTTTTGAAAAAAGAAACTACAATACTTCGAATAGTTGGGATTTTCCAGTTATAAAGGCCGAACTGACGAGATTTCACCCGACTCGCGTCTTGCGTCCATAGATCCCACGTACGTGAAAGGCAGTCCACACGTCCAGGTGTCCGAGCCCCGACCGGCAACAGGCGTTCTTGTGAGTACTCCCCCTTCCCCCAGGCTCCGGCGAGCGGCCGCCCGTCCGCCCGGTCTTTTTCTTGGAGCTCTGATCACATGCAGCGCCGGCCGCCTCCACGTCCTCGCCACCTGCGCCGCCCGGCCACACTCCCACCCCATCCTCCCACCCACCCCTCACCGCCTTTACTACTT